GAAAAGTAATAAAATCGAAATCTTTCTCTCGTATTTAGCTTGTAAAACTTGTATATCACAAATATATATATATATTAACATCTTTACGAGTTTTTGTCATCGCATCACTTTGATCTCACATCATTTTCTTTTCCTTATCAAATCATATCAACAAAAAGAATAAAATCTCACTAACACTTTCTTTCTAAATGTGGTTTTTTTCAAGTTTTATAACAATGACTATTTCAATAAAAATCAATTTAATACTCAGAATATAGAGAGAGAAGGTCTTTGTGAGAATTTATTTTGATCTTTTTCAAACCTTTGTTGTTCAGTAATTAGTTGATTGGCATTGTTATCTTTGTCTAATACTACTTTATTTGTGGCTTGTCGTTTAGCTTCTGCACGTAGTTTTAAACGAGCACGACGTTGTTCACTCAGTTCAATGGGTAATGGAACCTATACACAAAAGTAAAATTCTTATGACAAAAAACAATTCAAAAGTAGTCAATGATCATGTACCATGAGAAGTCCAAAAAAGGCACACATTAAAAGAAGGACTGATTCAAGCAGAAGAATGCCTTTGTAATCATTTGAAAAGAAATGTTCCATTATCCAAGGTATAAAAAATGGAAATGCAATTGTGCCTAAACCGGAACCACAATCAGCAATACCTATTGCAAATGAACGTTTTCGTTCAAAATAATATCCAACTGAAACAATAGCAGGCAAATACATTAGTCCACAACCAATGCCTTAAACATTATGAAATATTATTATTGAAATAATATTATTCATACCTGCAATCAAACCAATTGTCACATAATAATAATAAATATTAGTCCACAATCGACTAAGAAAAAAACCAAGTGATGCAAGAATTGCACCAACTATTGTGATTTTTCGAGATCCAAATGTATTTGTGAAAACTGTTGAGATAGGTGCTACAATGAACAAGAAAAAAAAGAGATAAAAATTTCAAGATAAATAGGTTATTCTAACCTGCAGCTAGAGTAATAGATTCTAAAAAAGCAAATATAATTGACACATAACCTCGATTGAGTTTAAGACTAGATAACATTGGTTCCAAATAGATATCGCCCATTGAATAGGTAATCCTGTAATTTGTATGAGACAGATTTATTATCAGAAGAAAAATATGAGATTGTACTTACCCATCCATAATAAAATGAATCATAAAAGATGAAAAGACAATAATCCATCCCCAACCACCATCAGGGACAATTGGTCTTCGTTTCACTGTTTTTCTACGATGTTCATTAGGTTCATCTAGCAAATCATTGTTATTATCATTATTCCGTTCAGTAGTCATCTTTCTATTACGCACATATAACTTTTAAGAAAAACAAGAGTCAATATGAAACACAATTGTCTTATCAAAAGATCATATATATATATATATATATGTTCTAGTATAAAGAACAATACTGACTTTTTATTTTCTATTCTTGTTCTTTTTCTTCAAACCAAAAATATAAAGATAACGATTCGTTTTGTCACATTGCAACTGAATAAAAAAGAAAGAAAGAAAGAAAAAAAGAAAGAAAAGTAAAAGATTACAATATATCATTTTGTTTCAAGTTAAGTTAGTTTCATAAACATGACATG